ACTAAAGATGTTGAAGACGGCCATGACGATAGCGCCGAAGAAGACTCCAGAGACAGACATTGCCTTGTCTGCACCACTAGTTGGAACCGGGGTCTTGCTGATGACCGGGGTGGTGGAAATAGTCTTGGTGGTCTCCTTGCTGGTAGAGGAGGACGAAGTTTCGACAATGCTAGTGGTCGGAGTGATCTTGGTCACAGTGCTCTCACTAACGGTCGGGACGATTTCGCTAATAGTGGTAGATCCACTTGGAACTGGAACCTCAGTAACCGGGGTTGAGGTTTCCTTGCTGGTGGTGGAAGGCTTGACTGGAACGGTATCACAGTTGGTCACAGTCACGGTAACGGCCATTGGATCTAATAACAAGTTAGGATGTTGTTTGTTGACAACATTGGATTGACTTGCCTTCGCGGACGACGAGACCACCTTTTCCGATATTGTCCATTTTGTTTGGAAAGTTACCTGATATCAAGTCAGTACATTATCAGAAGCAACATGTTGTGTTGGTTGCTTACCAGCATTGACTGCCATGGTAGTGAAAGCCAAGATGGCCACAGCGAGCTTGTGGTTCATGTTGACGGTTGGAATTGAGGATTTGAAGTTGCTTGAGGAATATTGATGATGTCCTTGGAGCAATGAAACGTTGGAACTTCTTGAGCAGAATGGATCCGTGTGAATGTTTGAAAGAAAGAAAGGAAGGGGAGGAAGGGAGGAGAGGAGGGGGTATTTATAGTGTGAGGGGATCACGCTATCGCTAAGCGAGAGCTGATTTGGGGCCCTATTCCTGATTCGGCGTGTTTTGATATGCTTTCCCGGATCAGGGCAGGAGCAGGTGACTTGCTGTGATCTCCGAGGGAACTCTACATTGTCCCTTTGGCGACTATCAAGTACAGGAGCCCCTTCAGCGGTGCATTCGGTGCTCTTTTGCCTCCCAAGCTGTCTCTACAGAGGCTTACAAGTTCTGATTGGCATTAGAGCAATCTATTCCGCTTCTATCATCTTCAATTGTACCTAGGAAGAGAATTATTCGGCAGCGGAGAAATAGGAATGCATTTGGAATAACTGCAGTGAGCTTTTGAGCTATTATCCTTTTGATCCTAGCTATCTACGGGGATATTGACCTGATATAAGGAGGCTAACGATAGCCTGCACCCGTTTAGGTGTTCTGTTCAATTCTTACGGCTTGCTGTCGCCCTCTCCGACGGGAATTACTGTTCGCATTTTCCGGGCGCTAACTACCATTCTACGATGAATTGGAGATTGATCTGCCCTTTGAAACGATGCCTTTCCCGCCTGGAAGTGGCCAGGACGACTTACACCTTCCTCGGTTTCATGCCATCGAGACCAGACGTTTTTGCATCGTGCTACTTCTTGTAACTAGCGCAAGGGTCTCCCCCTTACCATTTGCAGCTTATGTCTCGCAATACCACCCGTTCTCGAAGCCCAAATTACGGCCGAAAGCACTTGCTACTCCCATCTACTCCATCTTCCTCTTGGTGTCATTCAAATAAGCTCATGTCAAAAGCGGGAGCTTAAATTTAGCGTATCCGCTAAGGGCGCTTAAAACTTCACAACCACATGGCTTCTCAACACCACATACGTCATTGGATATGTTCTATTTGCTCACGCTAGTCCTCTCCTGGTTCCTAATGATGGATGTGAATGTTCCATTGATGGTCTGTGGGAGACCATCGGTGGCTTTGTGCAAGGCTGAGACGAAAACGTTCAGGATCGGAACGGATTATTCTTTCTCCTCACGCTAAGGATTTTGGCTTGCTGGAGAGCGAGGAGATTTCAAAAGACATTGTCCTGTAGATTATTTCTTCATGTATTTAGCACCATTTGATACTGCAATGGCACCCTGTCGATACTATTTTGCGGTACTTTTATAATAGTACTGGCATAACCTCAATTCCTATTCTCATAATTTATATATCCTTGAGGACTCTAGATGATACATGTATTCATGGCTTGAGAGCTCTTCATACCTCACTGTCCCTGATGATATGCGCAATACACTCGCTGATAATCAGACGACATATCCATTAATCGAGGGATATCTTGCTATCGTTCTATACCTCTTGACCTTATGCTCCCACAGGGCTAAAATTGTCGGAAAAAATCGCATCTTCTGATCTCCATTGTGCACAGCATGGATCTACAAAAATATGATCTGATCCGAAAGAATGTAAAAGAAGATCAAGGCTTTCCTCCATTATAACAGATACTGCACTGTTAGCCTGCCCTTTTCATCTCGGTAAGGGAGAGCTTACATACGGTACGGTACAGTATCTGATACTCAGGGCATCGGAGGTCATGGGACTTCCAAAATAGGAAATGCTGGATTGGTGAGGCCAACTGAGCGACACATACGAGATTCGAGGGTGAATAGCGGCTAATGCTGCGAAGAATGAATTTGGTGAGATTGGAATGATGATGCTAAATCATTATGTCCTCTTCTCACCATGCAGAGCACTAGATGATGCTTGTTTCTAGCTTGTGGAAATGATTTACAGCGAACTCGATACAATATCGCTAGGGCTGTCCTACGCTGGCTTTGCAAACCTATATCCTACCAATATTGTCAGAGGCGTCCTAGAAAACCACTCAGGTCTCAATGGAAGAGGGGCGCTCAGGTTATAGGTATGGTGCAACCTGGGAGTAATCAGGAACTGGATCAAGCAGCTAATTTCCCTTTTCCTAGTCAAGACAGATATCAACTGCTTTACAATAAACGCACAACCGCTACTCCCTTATATTGATGGGCCGAAGCACCTAGCCAGGCAGACAGGCCAGCGTCCACAAGGAGCCAGGAGCGAGAGTCTTAGCCGTCTTTGATAAAAACAAGCGCTGCATTCGCCTGCAAAATATACCGCTGCAATTGCTACATGGAATATACATTTAAGCACCTACTAGTTTGAATATTAATACCACTTCATATAAATATTCATTATCACTGCTGCTACACCGCTGCCTTGCGTCCAAAAATCTCAAAAAGAAAGGCTAAGAAATAGAATTATGTTCCTCCGCAGGATGCTAATATACATCATTTGCGCGAGAGTACAAAAAGACACACTGCAAACGCCGCCGCAAAATAGAAATCGCTGAAGGAAAAGAAGACTTGTCTAATGTAGAAGAAGAATTTGCAAAAAAAAAAAGGAAAAAGGAGAAAAGAAAAACGAAAAGAAAAAGAAAACCCTAGGAAAAAAAAAATCAAAAAAGGAGCACTCTAAGTAGGTTAAAATTACATGCGGCACACGTAGGCGACATCGTCATCTTTCATCGTCCAGGCTCATGCCGTACGATCGTGTCTCGGTTTCGCCATTTACTTTGGCTATATTCCCTCCTGTCCAAACAATCATTCACTTAATCCGGAAAGTCCATAAAAATTGCTTAGAGAGCTCTTGTATGTAGGTGCATGTACGGCCTTGTTTCGAAACGAAGAAGCAGGAAAGAGATCGAGTACCAAACCATGATCAAAACTAATAACTGGGGGTGGTATCTTTTGAAAAGAATCGATATCAGCCACCAAAGGAGTACGAAAAGGACACGAACAAGAATAGGAAGAGAAGGTAATCAATTCAGGATGAAGACATAGGCCAGGCTGCCGTCAGATTTCTCCAGGTAGATGGAGTGTTCAAATTTTGTTTATATTTTATTTTCCCAAGAAGTTTCAAGGGAATCAATGCACAAATGAGGAGGGCGGGCTTCCAGTCAGGATATGCACGGCATCCATTCCTCCAGATAATGAGAAAACAGAAGAAGTGAGAAAAGTTGTAATCAGGTCAGGTCATAAAAAGGAATGAGGAAAGCGGTAAAACAAGGCCGATGCAATCATTGAATTCGTTATCTATAGCACTTTTTCCCTGGTCCTTTCCATATTTTTTCGTCGATGCTTTGGAAAACGGGGAAGACACGAGGAGAGAAAGGGAGAGCAAGACCGAACTCAACACGAAACTGCCAGGCTCTCTTTTCCCCGTTCTATTCAACCCGGCCAAAGATTTTAAGAACGTAATTGTTCCTGAAGGAAAGCGTAACTGTAGTAGAAAATCGTGCCTCATTTGGAGGCGGGAAAGGAAATCGAAAAAAGGGGGTATTTTGAAGAAAGTCGCTTCCGCTCGCTAAAGGTCTAAAGAAACTGCGCTTCATTTGGCCTCCTTGTTTTCAAGTCAAAAAGAACCGCATTTCGATATTGGTCACCGTCGTCGGAGATTTTGGATCGTCGAGGTCCATATTTGACCCCGATTCATCCAGTTCCGAAAATTCCACCGTCATATCCTGACCCTCAGGCACTTCCCGCACAACATCATCATCCAAGACGACATGGAACCCATTGTTACGAACAACAAGGGCCCGCGCGATCCGTGCTGGGTCGAATCGACATTTTCTAGCAACGGTTTCCACCAACGCACTAGCAGAGCGATCGGTGAGGTAGACAGCATGGTAGTAATCTTCAACTTCCTGTCCCATGCTCTGGCGAGCTCGTACATAAAAGCAACATTCTGTAGAAGCGAAGGAGGAAAAGGTTAGCCAATCAGTACCAAAAGTAATCCAATGAGGCGTATGAAGACATACTGGGCTTTTTTGGAGTCTCATTCGGGGGCTGATATGAACCATCGACTCCCATCGCCTCAATCCAGTCGTTTGAATCGTTGCCATTCGCCGAGATGCGTGGAATTCTGGTCGGCTGATTCATGTACTGGCCGTGCTTCGTGGTGTCGCCACTTTGCGAGGCAGTTGACCAATCTAGCGACCCATGTCTGGACGCAGAGTACGAGCCGTCCATGAAATTGGTACCCTTCACATCGAAAGAGTGGTGGGATGAGCTAGGGGGACTGGTTACCCAGTAGAAGGAGAAAAGGCATTCGATGTGGATGCACCGTCATTCGAGTGCGTAGAATCGAAGTTCATGTGGTTTGAAAAGTTCTCATCAATCGTTGTGTCAAGCTGAACTGGGAATAAATCTGGATCGTCTTGAGGATCGCCTTTTAGATTGAGGATACTGATAGGCTGGGTCGACGAAAACATATCATTTAAGCTTGCCAACTTGAGCTGCAAATCTTCCTCGAGAGTCGATTTGACTCCATCTTGCGATCCGATCGACCAAGGGCGCTTGTGCTTCCCAAGTTTCATTGACTTGGGCATTCCCTTCGAACTGATAGAGCAGCTTCTTTTCCGCTTATCAAAATTCGCGGAACCGATCTCAGCTTGGGTGATTTGTTGTTTAATTTTCTCCATCAATTTCTTGACGTGAGCAACATCATTTGACAGTTTTCTTTCCGCTCCATGATCTCTGAATAATTTCACTTTGCAGTAGCAGACTTCGGGTGTGTTTCCAAGGGGAAGCTCCGGGCTATTGGTTGCGACAACTTCCGTCTTCGCGCACAGCCTTACTGGAATCCCCTTGACACCCTTGGAATGACTGAAGTCTGTAGATAGAAAGTTAAACCGGACCGAAATAGCGCACTCTGAGCTTCCCGTGGTTCTGTTGGGTACCCAAACGACTGAAAACCCATCGAAATTTGCCTTCTCCAACTGAACGCGCGGGTGTCGACCGTCTCCAACTCCACCTTGATTAGGATCGACGTGTTCGACCGCTAGAAGCTTGCCATCACGTTGGTGTGCTTCGTTTGTTCCTCGACCTTCTTTCCATAATTGCCAACAGTTGCCTGGCTTGGAGCGCTGTTCTTCTTCCTCGAAGGAAACGCGAATATAGGTACGATATCTCAGTGGTTGCGAACCCGACGCCATGGGAGCAGTATCAACCACATTGACTGTGTACGCCTGGCCTTTGTTTAAATATGTGACCGGGATTTCATCTGGATCTTTCACCATTGCAGTCGATGCGCGAAGTGTGACCCGAAATCGGAAGCTATGGGTGGAGGTCCGTTAGCATATGCGATTTCTACATGTCAATCTGTCGCAACAGCAAAACTCACTTGTCGTTGTGATGGCCGTCCAACCCATCAGCAGAGTCAGTCAGACGGCCCGGAACCAGCCCAAGAGACCCGTTGCCCAAACTGAGGTTCCCGAATGCGGGTTCTTCGAGAGATCGGGTTAGCGCAGTATAGTCTGGGTCGCGGCGAAGAAAGGTGCTTGGGGCAAAGCCCTGGACATGGCCAAAAGGATCTACTCCGTGTGCTTGGTTCGCAAGAAAAGGATGTTGGAACGGGCCCAGGTCAATGGCGGAATGGGGCATTGTTGGGTCGGCCGAAGTCGAGTGGGGGATCCCAAGTGGCGTGAGCAGATTCACGGCCATGTTTGGGGTTTGCATGTCGCCGGGGTGGGTTGAATTGGGCAGTCCATTTGCTGTGGGAGTTGCTGCATAGTATTCCGATGGCTGGCTCGCAAAAGTGGAAAAGGCGAATGAATTGGGGTCCATTAAGGATGGTGTGAAGCCCCATTGGTCCGGGGAAACCTTTACAATCGCATCGTGCTCCTTTTTATCTTTCATGTCCATTATTGGCCTGTGAAGCAGAAGTCAGCCAGAGCCGATGGACGCTTATAGTGGAAAAAAAAGACTGGCGCTCATCGAAATCTACACTCACCCCCTGGATAGGGAGGAACCAACCTCTGGGTGAGAGTCTGGCCAATGACGGGATCGGCTAGGCTACTGTGATCTTGGGGATCATGCGCCAGTGCGGACGAGCTCTCTGAGCAGAGCTGGGGAAAGTTTTGCTTGAAATCGTTGTAGAACTCCTCGGGGGGCTTTTGGGAACTCTTCCTGTAAGGTTGGAACAACGAGTCAGCTATTGCTGTCTGCGACAGGACGCTAACCAACAACTCCACGCCAATGGGCCTTTCGACAGCGCGCCAGGATTTCTCTCATTTCCTGTCTTCCTCATGCGTCTTCTTTCATGGACATACCGATGGCGGAACATTTTGGCGCAGGAGCCGAGAGCGCGAGTGTCTTGTCAAACGAGTGTGAAGAAACGCTGTCAGGGACGCACAAACATCAATTGAACACCAAGGTTGCCGTGCAGAGAGAGGAGACGCAGCAGATTCGAAAGATGGAATGTACAAGGATGAAGGGAAGAGGGATTGGAGCTCGTGATGGTGTCTAAGGTGCCGTTGAGGCGGTGGGTAACGTGATACGCGATGGAGGCCCAGCAGAGCGCCGGATCATGGAGCAACAGAGTGAGAAGCAACTGACGCCAGAAAAAGAAGTATGTGAGAAGTTGGAAGCTGATGGAGCGTAAAAAGAGACAAAGTAGATTTTTTACAATCGACCTCTGTAGGCCGGACGAGCAGTGCTGCAGCGAATATATAGTATAGGACTACGAGGGAGGGGGGCGGCAATGGCGATGGCGTCACTGAATGCAGCTACCGCGAAGGTTCCTTTTTGGACCATCTGCCGTCCCCACCGCAGAGATCTCAGCGTAACTCAATCACCGCACCTTTTTCCTTCTCTTCACACAATTGACTTCAAAGAGACTCTGGGGGCAGCAGGGCTTATGACGCGCGTCTGAGTAATCTGCTCCCAATCCGATGGAGGACGCCGGGGCGCCGCTCTCATTGGCGCCCAGCGCGGGCGGGACTCGACAAGCACAAGGGAAAAAGCAAAAAGCGCAGCGCGAGAGCTTTGACGTAACTCAACCCCAGCCTGGTGGGCTCAGTGATGGCTTGGACGGCGCTCATTGGCCTGCCGCGCGCCCATCTGCAACGCACTAGTTTGACAATCTGTCCTCCCTTCTGGATCCATGTTGAACCCAGGCCCAGGTGCCCGTCGACATCTAATAAATCGAATCAATCTGCATGCGGCATGGGTGCCCGCCGACATGACTGCGCGGCTTCCCGTCACAAACAGAGCGCCTTTTCGCTTACTGCCACTGCTGCTGCTTGTGCCTGCATCTGCCTCGCCGTCGCCGTCCCGTCGCTGCCATCCGAAGTGCGGCGCGCGATGATGTCATGGAGAAAGCTTGGCACACTAGCGGATTTTGGATGACGCCACACGCAACTCTAAAACCCGCAGCGAATCACCGGCCGGGCGCGCGCTCAGGAGAAAAAACTTAGAAAAAGGGCATTTGTGCTGCCGGTCCTTTTACTCGGTGCGTGCTGTGGTCTTTGGTGTTTCTGGATGCTGCATGCTGGCTGTTTTGGAGATTACGCGATACATATTGGCGATTGACTTGGTGCAGACAACGCGACAACGAACTGGAACACCCCCCTATTTCAATGAGCTCCCACCAGCGCCCCCACTGAGAGCAGCGTCTAGAACTACCGTGAACATTCGCCTCGCAGCCCTCACAGTATGGTACTATGGCGGGACGAGAGAAGAAGCCCGACAAGCCCTTTCTTTCTTTGGTACCGTTAGATCTATTCTCTTCCACCCCCCGCCCCGACTGTCTCCGCCACGGGCATTGCAGCGGGATTTGGTCCCGTCCAATGAATCCCGTATCAATTATCGTTGGCTCCTCCTACGGGCTAGTGACGTTATAGACACAAACGAAGAGAAGGGGCGAGTCTCGAAGGTGAAGGGAACTTTGGGCTCTGTCATCGACCTTCCGTCGCCACGCCGAGCCTTCCAAAGGATGGGATTTGGTAGAGCACCCTGAGTTTTGGACTTACCGAGGGGACACGCACCCGATAAACAGAAGGAGGAGGAGGCCGTGTGTGGGTGTGTGGGCGTGACAGAGAGGGAGAGAGACAGAGGTAAGATTTGCTCGCAGCTGACTCTGCTTTGCTGTCTAGGGGTGTGGACGAGATTCTATCGACGTTTATCTTTGCAGTCGATATCTTCGGTCCTTGATCTGTTGTGATCAGGCGGTAGCGATCCGTGCGAGTGCAAATCATCAAACCACACCCACGCCTCTGTATGTACACACATTGACCACCTCAGGACACTCAGCCATGTCATCATCATCTGGAATTGCGGATCTTGCCCAGAGAGATCACTCTTTCTTCAAGCAGACAGGTCCACGATGATCCATGTCCACACCCTTGCTCGAGCTATTATCCCCAAAGCCCAGGACTCGAACGACTTCTCCAAATAATGAAATGCTCAACCTCGAGACGGATCACAGGGGGGCGGTTCGCACGCCCGTCGGACCCACTGCATTTTTAACGTCATCAAACGGCATTTAAGTGGGGGAGGTGTCCCGTTTGCAATAATTTAAATGACGAACGGAACAACCGTGCAGGGAGGATCCCCTTTGCAACCCGACGCAGACTGATGATGGCCGCTGATTTATTAACTATAGACGATTGTGCTGCGGAATGATGTGATGTGTGTACCTACATATCAGCACCCATGCGGGCTCCGGAGGACACCTCCACGTTTAATCATATCGGTGCATGGGTTCGGTTCCGCTTTGTGGCCCTTGCTGCCGCATCCCTGCACAAGCACTTTTGGGGCTTCGAGATCAAGTAATAGTTGGTGATATCAACAAAATTATCGCTCATCTGCAGAGGCGGTACGGAAGGATATGCACAACAAAACAGTCGTGAACAAAATAGTATACATGTCACCAAGCAACCACCCGCTGCGACGGCTCAATTGGCCCAATGGAGTCCCATCCGATCCATTCCCCCAATCCATTCATGCATCTTGCGTCTGGAAAACATGGTTTTGAAAAAGGGGAAATTTCGAATCTGGTCCTTGGCTTTTCTGCTGCACCGGGCTCCCCAAGCCAAAAGCGCCCCGTCGAACGTCCTCATCTCTCATTTGCGAGCTTGAGCCTGCAGAGCGTTCCTTTTTCTTCCCTCCCTTTTTTGTTTTTATTTTTTTTTTTTTTTTGTAGGGGTCCTGGCGAGGGTGCCGTGGAAGGTTGGGCCATGACGTCATTGTGCAATTCCGCCAATCTCCCACCGAATTCCCGGCCACAGAAGGAGATCTCGCAGGGACAATTAATTAATTGATTGCACCAGCACACGCGTTTGTAGTATGTATGTGGCCCTGCAAGAGGCACGGGGACTTTTTTTCATCTTGCTTCAGGTTTCAGAAATGATGCGTATTCTAGCCCCATCACATGGGAAGAACCAGGATGAATCCTGTGGTTGGGTTGTTGGGGATCGATATTTGTTTGTCTGACGAAATTCGTAATTCTTCGCACCGATGGAGAGGTAAAACAGCGCAGAGCTGCATTCATGATAATGTGGATGTATGTAATATGTGGGCATCTCATCGCGACCCGAGTATTCGGAGGACTTCTCCGTACCCGGACTGCTGATCGCAGGTATCTTGAGTTCCCCATTCTCCAGGATTCCGCCAGCATTCTCGAAGGCCATGCATGTAGTTTTACGGGACGGGCGGGACCTTGTACGCAACATTGTTTTATATTTAAGAGCCAAACGGCGAACATTGCTTCTTTGCCAGACCGCTATTTATTATTCGTCGCCTTGGTTTTTTTCCCGGCTGGAACTTCCCCCCCAAATCCTTTCTTAGAAAATCTGGGGAAGTCGGAGACCAGCCGGCGACACTAGGACTAATAAGCTAATATAATCTCCCTTCTGATACGGGAGTAACTCTGTAGTTAGACATAGGAACATCTGCACCTTTAGAGTGCGCTGTAGAGCTACATACCCACTAACGCCCAAGCACACCACGAAGCTCTCAAGAAGGAAGGTCACTTCATTTACAGGTTCCTCTCCCGCGACCAGAACACGACAAAGGTACTTCCTTGTAGCGAGTAGAGTGATGAGCCCCCTGGTACGACCACGAGAAACGCCACCGACGTCGTTGACGCACCCACCTTTTGAGTTGTTCTCCACAGAAAAACAGCAAGGGGGGTAGTGGTGCTTTGTGTATGTATATGTGTGGACGCGGGTCTGTGTCTCGAAGTGTTGGGTTTATGAGATGGGGGGTTTTCTGTTTCCGGCTTTTGCTCTTGTTCTTCTATGTATCGTATGTACATCGGGGGCGGGATGTAGTGACACTATCACCTGGGGGGTGGGTATGAGCTACTGTTTTGAAGCAGCAGCGTGGTGCAGGAAGCTATGTGTTTAGCCAGGTTCGGAGTAGTACTCCGCTGCGGCTAGGAGAAGATGAAGAGGCTCCAGAGTGTCCACTTGTTGACGGGGAATTTACACAGTCGATGATGGCTAGATCCCACGGAACTCGTATAGTTAGTTAGCTCATCCACTGGCGATAGCTAGCCGCCTAGCTTGCCAACGGCCGAAACCTCAAACAAACATTCAGCTCGTCCGTCCAAGTACCTCAAAACTATCTAGACGGGCGGGAGAAGCAACCACTCTTCCCCCAGAAGGCTCATCGGCTGATCCCTCGTCGTTGGTACATCGCCCGATTCCACGAGAGGTTCCACATTCGTACCATCAGAGAGAACCGTTGGCATAGCTGGGACACTTGCATGTGCATATTGCCGATTTGCTCAATTAATTGCGCTTTGAAGTAAGGGCGTGGGGGGCCGCGTCAGGATTCGAAGCGATCGGCGGAGAGCTGGTGAATTCGAAGAAATAACTAGTTAGTTCACCAGCAAGAACAGGAGGAATTTGGATCAACTAAGTTAGCTATACCAAATTGCTACAATCAGACAACAATAGCTATGATCATGCAGCTGGCTTTCTGAAATCAGCTTTCACTGAAATAATCTTGATGCCAAAGAGTGAATTCACGAGGCAAGTTGACCAGGCCGCAATCAATCCGGCCCTACAAAAGTCCGGGCTAATGTTGGGTGAATCATCTTGGGACCTCAATGTTGCCGATGTGTCAAGAACCACATCCCCTACAGAAGCTATCAAAGCAATTCGCGGTGCTGCAGAAAGATCAAAAATGGCGTCTCCTCTGTTAAACACCCCGGTGGAGATTATGGACATGATACTCTCCCATCTCTCTTCTGACGACTTGCGCGCGATTTGCCTTATAAACAAACATTTGCGCGCTCTCGCTGAGCCGTTCCTCTACTCTATCATTGAGTTCATCTGGTCGCGCAATCAGACGCCTACAATAATCCCACTTTTGCGCAGTCTGCTGCGTCGGCCTTTGCTTGCTAGTTTTGTCCGCAATCTTGTCTTGTTGGGAGACGATTTCGAGACAAGTTTACATCATTATCGCCGGGAGGTCCCCAAGCTCCCAGTTGCCGAGATGGATTTGGAGGAGTTCGCTGAATCCATCAGGGAAACAAATGTGCCATATGGTGACTCCTGGATACAAAAATTGCAAGCTGGGGAAATGGATGCATTTGTTGCGCTCTTGTTATCCCGGCTCCCAAACATGCGTGGTCTCTACCTGGGCCCAAACTTCACCGCGAAAAACCAACTGGTGGGCCCCATGTTCCACTCTGCCCTCTGCGAGGACCGCAAATGTCGCCTGCCTTCCTTCAATCATCTTCGAGATGTGTCTTCTGTGTATTTCACCCTTGGTATAGACTATCGACGCTTCGTGACCTACCGGAATACACAAGATGTTCTGCCCCTCTTTTACTTACCCTCTGTTGAACGGATTTCGACTCTCATTGATAACCCGATCAACTTTACTTGGCCTGCGGGAAACTTACCAAACCCTTCGGGGTTAAAATCATTGGAGTTGCTAATGATAAGGGAGGGAAATCTCGGCCAGGTGCTCTCAGTCACCACAGGACTTGAAAAGCTTGCCTGGGAATGGTATTACCGGGATGATCTTATGGACCATTTCGTTACAGATACTTTCGACTTTGATCTAATTGCAGCGGATTTATCTCATGTTCGAAACACTTTAACACATCTGACCATCTCTGCTTTCACTGACATGGCGCGAGCAGACCCGGAATTCCCACGTATATACATGAAGGGCAATCTGCACCCCTTTAGCCAGCTTCACATGCTAAAGGATTTGAAAGTTCCGCTTCCGTTCGTGATGGGCTTTTCTCCAGCTGCATGGGACACCAGGCATCGAACTGGCGCTCTCCCGAAAGGCCTTGAATATCTAACGCTAACCGACGATCTCTACCTCCAGGAAGAATGGGAGTGGGAAGATGCAGACCTGCTGGAGGCCCTCCGACTGTGGCTAGAAAGCTGGAAGATCTCGACCCCTCACCTTCGACGGCTTCATTTCCTCTCGGAACATATGGCGCACGGGGAATGGGGCCCCGATATGAGACAGCAGCTTAGGGACTTCGGCGCTAAAGCTGGATTACAAGCCGAAATGATCAAATTAACAGGTGAGATGCCCCCTTGAGCCAAATTGCGTTCATAAGTTCTGGTTCCTAAATGTCTTTCTAGGTGTATATTAACTGTGGGCCAAAATGTCACACAATTAATCGACCAGTTGCGACAACACCGCCGACCCCACTCCCAAAACAGGGAAAAGAAAAGCAAAGGGAAGAAAGGATTATTTTTATAAGCTGCACCAGAATCGACCAAATAGGTACCATGTTATAACGTCCAGCTCAACCTTCGCTTGCCCCGACAGCGCATAACTGGATTTGATCGCTTGCAGTCACTCCTCCTGCCAGGGTCTTTATGTCATATTCTTCAGGGTCTTTATCCGGGGATAATACCGTAAGGCCCTCAGCCGCGACAAAAAGATTGCATCCCCACAGGTCCTATGACATTGTCAGTATTTCACAAAGTACGTTTCCTCTGTCTTTTGTCTTTGAGCGCATACTTGAGCTCCATATAACTTCAGACTTATATTGAATAGCAAGGAAAACGTTTTCTTACCTTTTCAGGTGTCCCACATGGATCTGTCTGCTCCCATCCCTTTTTTCTCCTCGTCCATGTGCCAACCCTCGCTTTTTTGGTGTCGAGGGGTTCGCCAGTAGTCGCATAATATAAGTGAGCCGCCATAGGTTCCGCGCAACTAGCTCCCGTCCTATGCTCCTTATCATTCCCAAAGGGGCCGTCGTCCTTCCAAATCGCTTGACAAAGACGAAGGCTTTCGAGAACGGGACTGTCCCCATAATCGTATGTAAAAGAAGCCCCGCCCTTCTGGGAAGACGAGAGGATAATTTCGTGGTCCCATGCCAGGACCGCCAGCGCGTTTGGTACACTCCTGGCACTGATGCCGTATTGCTCGACATCTTTTATCATCTCGTCAACTGCATCTCTTGCTATTTGCCAGAGCTGACCGTCGCTGATTTCGCTGACGGGGTCCTTGAACTTAAGATGGGTGCTGAATAGCCAAGATCGGTAGACTGTGTCGTCTTTCGGGTCGTTTTCCTTTGGAAAATTGATGGCAACGGAACGATCTAGTGTCACACCTAGGGGTCCTTGTGGAGCTAATTTCTTGGATATATCATAGGCAAGAAGCACATCGCTGAGAACGAGGAAAGCTGTGAAGATAACGAAGCAGAGGTTTCGAAAGGAGGGAATGAGCATCTTCGGAGGCAAGGGCTAAAAGCCCTAAGCTCTAGCTTTGTGTAAGCCATCCATTTGATCGTTACAAAAAGGTTGAACTCACTCACAACAAAATAATAGTTTACACCCAGTTCGTTATCTCCTCTGATCAACCGCTGAACCTTTTCAGTGTGACGATAGCTGTCTGAAAAGCAGGTTGGACTCAATGAGATGTGGAATCTTTTATAGGAGACTCACATTCAACGTTTTCACAAGCCAACACAGAACTGTTTCAGGAATAAACTGTCGACTAAACCCATCATATCGCCGAAGCAGTGCTTTCGACGGAGGCTCCATCTCGGTATGGAATTGTTGGGATACAATTGCGCTTGCTACGGTTGGAACAGTACCTTATTCCCGGCTATTTCAATCCGGCATGCGCACACCTTCCCGTTTGATGTGCAGAGGGCGCAGTCTCTCTGGCGAAGTATTGTTTCAGACACGGTTTGTTGTCGCCAAGTCGCCAAGCTTCGAACTCGGGTTGGTTTACTAACAAGTTGGTTCAACTAGTTAGTTCGCCGGGCTGCGGGATCTAACAATATAATAACAATAATAGCCAAAAACTACAGGGATCAGGAGTCCCAAAATAACTGCGCCGGACCTGCATCCCAACAGGGTTAAAACTGACAAACGTGCCTCCGCAACCTCGGCGCCTTACGGCTGGAGTTGGCCGTATGTGGAGTCGGCAAAACTAAACGCCAACATGATCGATATAATAACATTTTGAGTTGCACGGTTCTGGGGCTTTGCTTCCGTCGAGATGTTCCTATGACTTGAGAAATCGTGGCTCATCTCCGCGGTGAAAGGGTTGCAAGCGATGTGATCTGACCGCTCCGGCTTTAGTCTCAACCTGACCAACGGGTGAATGCTACATGAATCTCCACAGCTTGAGGATCTGTTTTGATTAGTGGCTTATCTCCATGACGATAGTTCCGGGATTGTGTTTTGAATTGATCAGTTATGATAGTTGGAAGCCTTTAGTTACCGACCTTCATGAAGAGCCGGCCAGATTTGATTGAATCAGGAGACTATATATCTTGGTGACGGAATTCAGGTTTTATCATTTGAAATTACCTTCGCTTTCGAGAAACTTTCTGGTCGTGTTGTAGAGCCCGTTGGCGTGTGATACAATGCGGTGGTGGTGTCGGCTTTGCATCGTTCCGTTTTTGGGGCAGGCGGTTGCCTTGCCTGCTGAAGCAAAAGACCCCGACCTGAAAGATTTACCCTTTTTTAAAGATCCGTTCAAGCCATTATTCCCATTCTTACAAACTTTGCCATTTGACCCAACCGACCTTTCGTGGATCAAGAAACTTGCGGCCATCGGGGATTCCTATTCGGCTGGCATTGGCGCTGGGGACAGACTTGGGAACCTGTTTGATGTATTCAATTCGCAAGGCGGTATGCTACCCTATGTTCCCGGTTATTTACGCAACGGGACAATTGACAAAGGTGCTTGCCTTGTAAAGATTATGCGTGCAGCCGCTATGATCATGCCTATCCTTACTTGATCAATAATGATCCAAGGTTAGGTGATCTGAAGAATAGGAAATTTCAATTCAAATCATGCTCCGGCGCAAAATCGGACGACGTCCTTAAGAAGCAGATACCCTCGATAGATTCGGGCCAGCAGGCAATTCTCCTCTCAGTTGGTAAGACATCCCTTTTGATTGCTTGAAAATAATCCCTGTGTATATGGTCTCACATACTTCCTAGGCGGCAATGATGTTGAGCTGGTCAACATCTTGAACCAATGCATCTACCAGTGGGGGGTTGTTAACAAAGCACAGGTGGCTATTGCGAAGGCCGAAGCGCTTAAGAAGAGCCAAAGTGATGACGGGAAGTTCGATTGGGCTAAATCCTTTGATTGGGATGCCCTTGGCCGCGGGTGTCAGGGTCAACTAGACCACACCCAATCGCTAATCAACAGCAAAGCCTTTAGCGATAAAATCGACAGCGTTTTAAAAGCGGCCAAGGCTAAATTAGCCAAAGAGTAAGCTGACCATATTCCCGTTATTCGGCCTTATACTTATATACTGATATCTGTTTGTAGTGGCATGATCTACGTTACCGGGTAAGAGAGCATAATAGAATCTACAGTTACATACCGGGCCTACTGACGATACGCCTCTGCTAGATACGGCAAATTTTTTGGAGAAAAGCTAACTTCAGAATGCGATAAAGTGTCGTGGTCAACATGGATTTATGTGAGTCCACTATCACCCCCAAGTATGTTAACATTCAAATACTAATTCACTGCAGAAATCGTATAATATCTTTCAGCCGGAAGCTAAACTCACCAAGGCAAACCGCAAGAAAATGAACGATCTTGTTGACTCAGTCAACAACAAGCTGGTTAGTACATAGTTTGCCTTTCCGTTTGCCCAATTTCAAGCTAACACTGTTCAACAGAAAGAATCAGTAAAGCGGGCTGGCAAGAATGTCCGGTTTGTAGATTACGATTCTTACATTGGTGAATTCGGTGGCCGATACTGCGAACCTGGCGTTGACGAATCCACAAAGGCGAGCAACACAAGGCAAGTGAATCTCAATAGGACAGAATATGTCTCATGCACCACCATCGCTAACATCACTTTAGGCCTCGGCTGATGTTCTACGAGCTGAATACATTCGATCCTTTAGGCACAACTCCTTGGAAGCGGTCGAATGGGGACGCCATCATGGGAACGTTTTCTGGCTCAGTCAATACCTTCGCAGAGATCACGCTCCTTTTGGACCCTAAAGCCAAAATTGTCCATGAGAAATCCGTCCAGGCAGATAAGCCAGCGACGGGGAATTCTCTCGGCCTCGAGAACAAATTGCCAATAGAAGATTATATCGCAGTTCCTAATCTTTTGCCAGACGGGTAAGTAGCATAAATTGAGACTCTGAACTGCAAGGAGAAGAAGTCGATATGCTAATCTAGTATTTCGGCGCAATGTACAGCTACGGACGTGTCTTTCATCCACAGATTCTATTGCATAGGATCATTACAAATCTCGTCATCCACAATATGGTCAACGACTACCAGAAACGCAAAGGCCACCCGTCGCTTCCTGAAGTCGCGTCCTTCAAGACATGCCCCATTGAGAAAGTTTCTCCTTCCTTGACCGTAGGCAAATTGTCCTGCTCGCCGGAAAGGCCGAAGAAACTCTCGTTTCCGGTGGTGTCTGAGGGGGTATCCGTCAACGCCGAGGGAGCATGCAAGAAATTTGCCGAGAGGGGGGACATCTCATCCGATGAGAAGTCGTGGTATTACCAGAGGTATTTCGGATCGAACCCAAGCTGGTTTAATATTGGCTGGGCCAAAGGCTGCAAGGTTCCTGGCGACAAGCAGAAGCAAAACATGGGTGACCCGCTCGGGAATGGCAAGCTTAAGTGCGAAGAGATATTCGTCGATAAGATCTTCAACGCCTGTGAGTCTCTGATTTCGTTTTTCTTTCTCTTTCTTTCTTCCCCGCCCAACCTTTTCGAGCCCGTGCTCCCGGGAGTTTTAAAAACAGTTTGCTAACCCCCCCCCTTTTCCCCCCTGTAGGCAAGGACAATGACCAAGCGGGCGGGACCCTGAGGGTGGGGTGCTTGGAATATACCTACCAGCCATGCAACATAGATACCCGTGCGTGCTACATTTCGGGCGGCGAATTGAGAAATATAGATGACCACGATAAGTAAACCCCGCAAGAAGATTAGAATAATTTTGGTGAAGAACGAGGCTGCTCTCTACTTTATCAGTTTTCTGAAGAACTGCGGAGGGTGATAAAAGGAGAGAAAAACTTTTTCTCTGGCAGCTGGTTTTGTTGATATTGTTGGGACCCCTGGGGGCCTTTTGTATATACTATAACTATATACATAACTATTCAAAAGAAACGTGATTACAACTTTTTAAAAGAATGACCTATTGTTTCAATTGTTGTGGTTTTCTCTTTCTGACTCCTTGAATTGAATTCAATGATTTTTTTTCTGGGAGAAGGTTCACATGTGGCATGGTAGGTCGATGCATGGCCTGATCTCCTTTTTTATTATTTATTATTTATCTATTCTAGTTATTATTTAATTAGCAGCGGACCGATGTGCAGCACAATGGTACATAGTTCAAAGATGATATCTCCATAGGAAGGCCCTCCATGCTCAAATGATGTCGTAACCCCACGGATCTCCGTCACCAGCCGAAAATATTCCCTTTTTTTTTTGTAGACAACGCCGATGGACATCTCAGGAACGAAACTGGTTCGGGTTAAAACTCACTGAAGTGCGGGCATGAGGAAAACAAAAGAGAAAAGAGTTGTTAAATCATCCCCATTTTTCAAGCTGTTTTAAGCCGAACTGCGCAAAGAGGTAATTGGAAATTCATAATTCGTTGAGGAGGTGAACTGGCAAATATCAAGAACCCGTGAGTCTGCGATTTAAGCCTACCATACGCTGAGTAGATCGAGCAAAGAAAAACAATTCGCGAGATCGTAGCACCAGACGAAATCACCGACGGGACTTCAAGCTGCACATGTAGTCCTATTCATGCGATGAGCAGCTGTTGGGGGCATGCGGAAATTTGAGGGAAATGCTAACCGTCATCTAGTGATGATCAAAGACAGGCCGTCAATGCTATCGCCAAATCTTCCTGAAACGCCTGCAATATTGTACCCGCGTGGTGCGATTAAAGTGTGCCTTGGAACAACCGGTCAGGACTCATCTTGACGCAAGGGAGGATGAAGATAACAAAACGTACCCAACTCCTGCAGTTGCGTCGCCATAAACGCCGTTTATTTTCCCCATGCTAGTAATAATCCCAAGTCCTTCAACCTTGTGCGCCGCTCGAATGTAAAACCCTGTTAAGAGCTCTCCCCTTCGCGTATCTATGCCAATCGTAAGCGAAACCGCAGAGTACTCGAAGTTCACGCACTTACCAAGTATATGCTCACTGATAATTGCAGGTTGAGACGGTTGGCTTCCAAAAAACTGAGACGTCGCGTCTTCATAACAAAACTCGATGCCATTAACGGCAGATGGACTGTGGTGGACTTTGATCGAGGTAAGCAACTTGGTCTGGATAACAGCAGAGTCTAGGATCAGATCCTGGGGTGGAGCCTCTAGAGATGCCGCAAAACCAAGGTTATTGCTCCGATACCCGGCCTGGCCATTGGGGAGTTTGATTATTGAACCCTTGGCTTTGAGAAGAGAAACGTCTTCCACAGTGTGACTGCACAGTGAGCCAGAAACGATCACAAGTTTCAGCTTCCTTGCCTTTTTGCGATTCTCAGGGAGTCGAGCGCGAATTTCGTCTTCTGTGACGGTGACCTGCTTAGAGAGTCCGTTGTTACTATTCCCCAACTCGCCATTCATATAGTCAAAATATGCTATGCAGATGTCGTCTTCGTCGGTATAAATCTCGATAAACGCGACCCCAGACATAGACGTTAGGAGGATCTTGCTGCTGTCGACTGCCCAAACGTGGATGGAGCCGTTGGAAGACGGAGGGGGGTCACTGGGATGGCGGAAGCAAGGGTGCAGACGGAAACGCAACGCATCCAGCCGATGCCAGCTAGTTTCATCCTGGGCCAAACAAAGACGTAAACCCTGTTCCTTGGTCCTGGTGCAGTACGGCTCCCAGCTCGTAAATGATCTATTGAACCGGAGGTAGTCATGGCTCATTATGCCACTCTCTCTTTCAGAGCAACCGAACACGCGACCTATTTCACGAAGATGCGCACCGAGGCTAGCGGTCGCCATCTCCCAGTTACTGCCGCATTCATTATTTCCATTCGCTAGCGGACCGGTATCGGGTCGAGCGCAGTCTGTAAATGCCGAAACCACTTCCTCAATACAAGATGGATAGCTTTGTAGGCCACGGGAGCCGAAAACCGCTAACTCGAGACCATTGTCTGCGGTTCCAACTCTTGCATGGCCAGTGGCCGATTGAAGCTTGCTGTCGAAATGGTTATCGAGAATCAATGCAGTGACATAAGACTTTTGGCCAGGCGGTGGCATAAAACGTTGATCGAGGGCTGCTTTTACAATTTCAAACAACTCATTGTTACGGCCTGGCGCGTGACCGCGTCCAAGGCTCAGCTCTGTCAGCTCCGCAACCGTTTTATCGCAGCGAATGACGTGGATTTTGGCCTCATTCCTCATTTGATGAGAGACAGCATCCTTGGAGCTAATTGTGCCGGTCTGCCACTCTTCTTCGAACCGAAATGAACGCCTTGCAAAGTTGTTGCGATACATTTGCTCTTGCGTAAACGCTTGCCACAGATACGCAGCCATGCGGAATTTGCGAACGGCGACATCTAGGCTATTATCTTTTTTCGAAGCGCTTTCAGCGGTATCAAACTGACCGTGGGAGTCCTTGGCAAGGAGGATCACGAGGTGGAGTGGCGGGCAATTGATCATAGGCAAGTAGTTCACACTGATGACTGACTGGTGTGCAGTGGCATTGGCGACTTTTTTAGACAGGAAGTCTAATCTAACTTTGTTTGGGCCCGGAACCAGGTGCAACAGTGCCTTGAAATGGGATTCGCGGACAGGCCAAGTTGTGGAAGGGAACGAGTCGTTTAGGTGGTTCAGGGTAACGGAGCCATCCACGGGTGGGTTTCGGGCATCACCTATCTGACCATAGATCAAGATAACTTTATGATTGACCTGAGTAAACCGTCAGCTGCGCGCAACAACCATGATGCTTTCACGCTTCAGCCTGCATACCCATGAGTTTTCGGAGATCGATGTCACGCGAGGCGCGAACGGAGAGACAGGAATCGAGGACCTAGACGGCGGGCTCGTCAAATAGGGGTTGCTACACTGGATTGCAACGCGGTGGGTTAGTCACAAAATCCAATTGCACCTGAAGGGGCAAACTCACTGCGCCACTGCTCCGGCTCGATGGAGAGCTGATGGGAACCGGTCTCTGCGGGAGCGGTCCCAGGTGATTGGACGTTTCTGCTTTGCACAAGTACGGCAGATACGAGGATGACAGGGTCGGCAAGGACGGGGGCGGAGTGGTATGGGAGCTGCTGGAAGAGCAATTGTCGAGGGTCAGGGTCGAGGTGCCGTTCGTGGTGCGGCCGTCGCCGTCCACGTCGGAGGAGGTGGAGTCATCCTTTGCTCTCCGGGCGGCTCCCTTGTGGAAGCTTGTTCGCGAAATACGGCGGAGGTCCTTGATAAATGTCTTTGGGGACATTTTCAATGGTGGAAATGAAGGGGCATCTACAAGATCGCACTGGCAGGGCCACACTGGAGGCGGAGCATGAACGGAGACAAGCAGAAGATGAAGAAGATGAAGAGAGAGAGAGAGAGCAAGTGAGAGATAGAGAGACGAAGGTCAATGGCCAGGCCCAGTGACCTCGCGCAACAGGACGACTCAGCGATTGCTGGCTGCACACAGCAAAACGGACGTTTCTGAGCCAGGCAGATGGGCGGGAAAGAAAGAACGACAAGCACGGGCGTCAGGATGCAGCGGGCAGGGCGGGAAGAACATGGACCAGATCAATTGGCAACGAGCAGAGAG